TCTTATGGGCTAACTTTTATTTTGGTAGTTTTTCTTGTATTTTCTATCTAACTAATGTTTCATTTCTTTTTATATGATTTAATTTTTTTCTATAGCAAGTTATCATTTCACGTGTTTTCCTTTCTCACTGTTCGTTTGGGTTTTGTTGTAGTTCTGTTGTTATTGGGTTTTCTGAGGTAAGGATTCTCTTTTAACTCGTATTCATTTCTCCCTACATCTTTAGAAGATCTATGCATGGCCCCTTTTTACGGGAAAGTTTTTGAGGTCTCCTGGAATAATTGGAATTGAGAGTAGAATCCAACCATTTCCATATTTCCCTTTTCTCATTGGTTACACATTTGTTGCAACCTTCCCCAGCTCTGTCCCCGTATCCCACCCGCTTCTTTCTCTCCCTTACCTGTTCCTTAATGGGATATTGTTGTTCATTGCCAATGATACTGTTGGGATCGGGTCCTGTAGGGGCCAGACTGCTTCTTTTCACAGATACTTGGGAGACGTTTACCATAGACCCAGAGGTTCTTTGGGTTTTTATCAAAATGACTCTCTATTTGTTTCTTTTCACCACTTCCCCTATCGCCTTTCCCCAGTGGTTCAGGACCTTCTCCTCGAGTGTTATAGAGCTAATAATTCCTACTCTTCCAGGTTCCTATTCCTGCCTTTTTGCATTCCCCAAGAAGACTGAGGATTGGTGTCTTGTTATCGATCTCTTCTTTCTAAACCACAATATGGAAGTTCCTCGTTTCACCATGGTGTTTTCCATATTTTTATTATGGGGATTTACTCCAGGTCTTTGGTCTGCTGCTTACCTTCATATCTTCAGTTTCCCCGTGTCCTGTTTTTATCATTGCTTTGTTCATGGGGAATGTGTATATTGATTCTGGGTTCTTCCTTTTGGTTTGGCCTCGGCTCCCTATTTTAGTCGGGTGGTCAAGGCCTTTGCTCGAATCCATCATTCACATGGACTTCATTTCCATCACTAATGGATGACTGACTCCTTCACTTTCAGCTTCTTCAATCAACACTCACTTCCTCTTCAGGGAAGCTGCTTGGGTGAGTTGGCTGATCGAGGTGCAAAAATTCCCTCTCACACTGACTCAATACCTCGTTCATCTTGAGGTATTCTTCAATTCCCATCTCAGTCGAAGTTCAACCTTCTCCGATTTGAATGCATTCCACGGAGTTTACAATTCAGAATGTTTACTCCTCACCTTTTCTACTTGCACAAGAAGTTCGTTTTCTATTGGGAACTTGGGCTTCCTTGGAGGTCCTTCTTACCCTTGGCCATGCTTACATGAGGTCTTTTGAGTTGGTATGTCATGATCAATGGAACCTCACCAGGAATCTCTTGAATTACCTAGTATCTCTTCCTCTTTCCCTCCAGGCTCATTTTTCCTGGTGGCTGGACAGTGACAACAAAACAGCTGGTGTTTATCTTCTTCCTCTCTGAATGGAAGTGCATCTTTCTATGAATACTTACTTCCCTGTTGAGCTGGAGAGCACATTGTGACACCAAAGAGATCTCGGGCCATTAGTCTTTAATCAAATCGAGTTTTCATATCAATCTTCTGGAACTCTGGGCAATGGTTCATTTTCTTCCAGCTATGAAGAGCAAAACAGTAATGATCCATTCCGACAACTCTATGGCTCTTTCTTAAATAATTTGACAAGGTGCACCCAGTCGTGGTCCCTGTGTTATTACACATTGACCTGGGCCCACACCCATTTAAATCGTTTGCTGGCTTGTCATGTCCCAGGTGCTCTCAATATTGTTGTGGATTGATTATCCCATTCCAACAAGCTTCTCCCCATGGATTGGTCCCTCAACGCTCTGGTTGGCTGGACACTTTTGCTACCCACTTGAATAAAAGACTGTCTATGTTCTGGTTCCTTGTTCATCACCCATCACCTTTGGCAATAGATGCCTTCAGTCGAGATTGGATGGGCCTCTAAATTTATGTATATCCCCATCCTTCCTCCCAGGATCCTATCCATTATCCAAGCCACTATGGTCGAGTCCTTCTAATGGTTCCATTCTGGCCAGCTCAACCTTTGTTCCCACTACTTCTCCCTCTTTAGTTTTCACCCCATTACCTCTTCCTTCCTCCCCTTCCCTACTCCAATAACTTCATTTGGCAGTGTTTTGTGCATGGCTTTTGTCTAGGCCCTTGTGAGAGGTTCCAGACTTTCCACCCACTTAACATCCCTTCTTTCCCACTCTGTCAGTGTTCCAACATAAGTGGCATATTTTTTGTCATTGGCCTTTTTATTGGGGATTTATCCCTTCCCCCTTCTGTCCCTCACCCATCCAAATTTTTTACCTGGCTTTTCAACAATGGTCTTTCTGTTTCAACCATTGCCAGATATAGAGCTGCATTATCCTTTACCTTTCGTGTTTTCCAGTTTCTAACATATATATTTTCCTCTCCTGTTATTTTCCTCTTGTTTATTCCTTTTGTCTTCATCATACACCTCGACCCACATCCTTACCGGATTAGGATCTTAATGTTGTCCTATATGCTCTTTACCTCCCTCTATTGAAAACATTGGCTTCCTGTTCCTTATATCACCTATTCTTGAAAACCATTTTGCTACACCTACGGATATCAATGGTTGGATGTCTTGCATCTTTTACCAAAAAATTATGTTCTTTATCCTGATCGTACCTTTCTCTCTAAAACCTCATGTGAAAGTGATGTTGCCTTTACTTCTACTTCCCTTCCTTCAAATTCCCATCTATACTCCCATACTGATCTCAATCATCTCCTGTATCCAATTAGGGCTCTATGGTATTATGTGGCTTCAGTGGTTCCTATTCCAGATTGTTTATACACCGGAATTCTTCAGTTTCCCATAACCTTTCTCCTGTTACCCTGACTGGCTGGGTTAACAACTTATACATACAGCCTATTCTTCCTTGTCTCCTCACTCTCGTCACTTTTTCCCTGTTTCCTCACATCCAATTAGTCACTTCACAATATCTTTGACTGCTCATCTTCATCACCTTTGGACGAGATTTTCCAGACTGGCATGTAGACCACTCTTCATATATTTATGTTACATTATTTTCATCATCTGGAAGTTTCCTTTTTGGTCAGATATTGTTTACCTTCTGTAGCCATCCTTAACTCATCGGTTCATCTGTGAGTCGATGTCTTTTCCTAATATATTTTCCTCTTACAGGGCCTCCTAACATTTTTAAGATCCCACTCTGTGGTGAATGGCACCTGTCCAGGTATACTAATTGTTAAATCTGCACTGTACACCCATTAAAGTCACTAACGTTCACTGTTAAGATGGGGAGTTTTGCAAAACCCCTTGTAGGTTCATCCTTGGTGTGTGTTGCTTCACAAATCTGTGGTGAATGGTGCCTGTCCAGGTATACTAATTCTTAAATATGCATTGTACACCCATAAAAGTGACTAATGTTTACTGTTGGGATGGGGAGTTCTTCAAAACCACTTGTAGGTTTATCCTCGATGTGTCTTGCTTAACAAATATATTCATCCTGGACCATCCACTCATGAACTAACATGAGTAAAGCAGAAGAAGATTCCTGCCCATCCTGCCATTCCCTTGTCTGCTTTTCAAAACAGGGTTTTGCAGTCACCAATTGTACTTTCTCCGGTACTGTGTTCCTTCAGACTTTCCAATGTGCCCCCTTTCTCTAGTGAAGTACTGGAATTCTTACCACTTACCAGCTACTAGCTGCTGGGTGGTGAATCATGAAGGCTTCTTCCAGCATGTGCTCAATTACACTCAGTTGAGAGTAGGATGGTAGTGTTCTTTCAGTGTATGTGCTGTGACTATCCACTTACTACAGATCTGATGTACGATTCCAAATTCTGTATGGTAGGAAATGAATTTTTCCATCACATCCCAATATGCAGTTCACCCTTTTGACTGGGAACCCTCCTACTGCTGCCTGGATATCGATTTCTGGGCGACTGGTGTTGGTTTGAGTTGGACCAATCATCATAAGTCCATGTGTGAATGGGCTGAGACCCTCCTCCCAATATGGAATGGATGATATATTCCCAATGCTGCATGGTTTTGGAACTGGAGTTTTCTCTCCATATTGCATTTCCACCTTCTTACCATTGTCCGGATGTTGGTTCCCAAGGAAGGGGGGGGGACAGGTATTGTTCATGTTGGATACACTCACACATGATGGCTTGGGTTCTCGGAATGGAAGTACTTCATCTCTTCTGGTTCCCGAGTCTGACGTGAATGGTAGAGGACCCTCCTACTGTGGCCTAATTGATCCAGTCACAGAGCCACTGGTTTGGACTGCAGTTGACCTCTCACTTATGGTCCACACTACTCTACACCAATGGTACCTTTTTTCATTTCGCATTTGTCTCTTTTCCACCCATTTTGCAACACATTAATTCATCAAGGGCAAAGAGTATATCTTGTTCAGATGTGGTTCAGTCTCCTACGAATGTGTTTCCTCTACATAGATGGCACAGTCCTTGGGATACTATTCATCTGCTTTCGGAAGGAGAGTCATCTAGGTAACTTTAACACCAGTCTCTTCGCCTGGTCACTGTAGGATTTTAGTTATTTTGTAAGTGGAGGTAAGATACAGTATTGGAAGTTAATATTTTCCTACACTGAAAATATATTTTTGATAGATTGGGTTTTACTTCACAGAGGGAGATAGCTGTGCTAGGAGGGTGTGTTGTACTCCTATTGGTGCAGGGTTATAGCATGCTTATTTGCATGTTACAATGCAGCTACACCACATGAGGTAGGTAGGAGCATAAAGGCTAGTGGTGAGTGAAAATTTACACATATAAAGGATAGTACAATTTGAGGAAAACTATTTTGTGAGCAGAGTTAAGTATCTATCAGAAATTTATTTTCAGTATAGGAAAATATTATATTCCATTAAAAGGAACTGGAAGGATTTTGAAGAAATTGATTTCCAGAAACAAAACTGCCCAAACTTTATAAGGAAAGAGTCAAATACATAACTGAAGAATTCTATGCAAGCTACATATATTTAAAGATTTATTTTATTAACTTCACAGTTTGTTTACAAAACATTAAGATTAATATCTTTAATACAATATAGATGAGCATCACTACAATAGTATATTCCTGAACCACAAAATAAAATTCATGTGCTTTTGTTTTGAGCATTGAAGAATTGCAAAAAATAAAGATTGTAACACAAAACTATTACCATTTTTGAAAACCTTCATTAATGGCTAACCATATGATCATCCTATAGTTGCTCATTATCATACAAACCTATTCTCTGTTAACACAAACTAATTCGCAGAGATCTTGCATGTAATAGGACATGAAGTTTGTTCATTTTTAACCCTCTGCTGTTTCTACAAATATTGTTCACTTTTATGGCTACTTTAACCCATTGACTGCTGGTTTACTGTATAGGTATGGTGTTCTTCCAGCAAATGAATGTGATTGTGCTGTATACAGTGTACAGCTTGCAAAATTCTGCATGCATTTAGAGCAGCTACAGTCAATGGATAGGTTTAAAAATATAGATTGCAAAATATTTAATCTCGTAGACAGCTACTTACCAATGGTTAAAACAATGTTTAATTAAGACATTCATAAAAAAGTATCTAATGATTCACTCTTACTGTTCATATAATGTTCAACATATGGCTTTCAGAAATAACAGCATAGCTTACTTAAATATCTCTTTCACTAAAAATAAAAAGATAAAGAATTTCTTAGTATTAAGAGAAAGTAGCTGAATACAGTAGCCTTTATTAAATTAACATCCTAAAACTTTGTGATTTTTATACTAATGTGAATGTGCATTATCAGATGTGTCATAAAGTCATATAAATTTAAAAAAATTAACACCTAAATTATGCAAAAAAAGTAGTTTCTATTTTTGGAATAACTTTCTTAACTATCAGTTTTATCATCATTAGCTTGTTGAATGTTTTTATAACAGCTTTCAATAGGACTGTAATCTTGGACACCTGCTATACCCCATGGCTGTAGTTCTGCTGATCCAAAAAACATAAACAGTGTGCCAGTAAAGAAAAACACACAAGCAGAAACATAGAAGACAATATTCCATTGATGAAGTGTTTGCTAAATTGATATAAAAATATAACAGTATACATTTATTAGAAGCTAAATTTTCAATCCTTTCTTTATAAAACACTTGCTGAAATGAATAAAATTTTAAGCTTCTAGTATAACACTGTTGGTATTGTAAAGTTATTTTTAGATTTTAAACTCATGAACTTATTTTACAGTATCTCAATCTATATCCCTTTGTATAAATGTAATCAGTTACTCCATTTTATTACAATTAAATTATAACCTTCCAGTTTCAGTTTTCTTACATAAGGAATTCTACAATAAAACAAAATGTCCATTATTCAATTTTTACCTTATGTTCAGTTATAACTCCCACTGCATATGGAGCAAGGATTCCAGCCAAGTTGGCCACACCATTGGTCATTCCCATCAGTGTTCCTAACACAAAATATTTGCAATAAACTACAATTTATTGATGACTCCCTATTATCTATGTATGTGTATATGAAATCATCAAATATTTAACTTGTAAAAATGCTTAAAAATTTAATCTCTATTTTTTGTATGTCATTCATAGTGCAATTTATTATGAGGTTAGGTTATGAAAATACTTGTTGAAAGTTACATTACAATCAGGTCCAAAATTCTGTTCAACTCATTACTTCACATAATGTGATAATGTTACAAAGATATAATGGCTATATACTATAAAAAATTACTAACATTAAAAATAATTAGGTAACTTACTTATTGTAAACAGAAATTTCACAAATTTAAAAAAACAAAAAAAGACTACCTGGAAACCTGAATTACATGAAAGAACAACATAAATATAATACTTTACAACAGATAAATCTCTCAGTTTTTAATTAAATGGTTTTAACTTGATAACAAAAGCTGATGATGCCAATTGATACTGATGAACTTTTGGTTATATTCAATCTTAAACTTTCTTTAACACGAATAAAGTTTTCAGTTTTCTATATATGTGTGACATAAAAGCATTTATACTAACCAGCAAAGTCAGGTGCCATGTCCACATGTGTCACCATGAAGCCAGAAAAGATGAAACCATTAAAACCCATACCAAGTACAAACAGTGAAATACTTAGCATATCGTTACAACCAGCCCAAGTTACACCTAACAAACATATACCAGAGCCTGCAAAAGCTGAAAAAAAAAGATGCATTGAAATAGATTAAAAAAATTGTGCAGAAACAATAGAGCCACAATATTTTTTTATTTTATGTATTCTTACAAATAATATATATACTTATCAAAGTCACAAAAAGCACCTGTCAATGTTATGTTTTTAAAGTGAGCTGTTTCAAGTATTTCTAACATTGTTACATATAGAAGGATTAGTGTTACATAAAAAGTGAACTAAGAAAACTCAATCTTGAAAAGAAAAAAGGATATAGAAAATTAGCTTGGTTGATCTAACAGTACTTTTATGCAAAAAGGAATATATTTTGTTATATACAAAAGAATAGTTACAAACAGAAATATAACATTATTTTATTCCATATTATCTAATAAGTTTTGCAATAAAAACTAAGTAATGCTTACCTACAGAATTGCATATTTTTCTTACGACAGTATTACTAAATAGTTGTTTTTTGCGTACTATATCAGCTGTGAATCCTCCAACCCAACTCAAAATGGCCTGAAGGAGGTATGGAAGAGCAGACAAAACACCATTCTGAAGTGAAAATGTCTATGAGTAAACTTAGAAGCTACTAAGAGAACAAAATGTATGCAATACTGTTATCACAAAAAAAAATGTTTAAAGTTACTGCTTTACAAGATTAGCCAAAAGCTATAAACAGAGTGCAAAATTAATGTGTGCCCAGTGTCCAATATTCCTAAATATTACATTAAGCAAGAAAGAATTTTAACTGATGTGCTAAGGGTTGACAGGAAAAATATCACAGCAATGGTATTATACTAGATAAAACATTTCCAACCAGTGTAAAAAGTACTCTGAACACTAATTAAAATTCCATATTTTGCACCATGAACTTACCATTTTGTGGCCCAAAACATTTAATATGCAGGGTTTCTTTTGCTTACATATTCTATTTATTTGTAGATCATTTGACTAACTTCTGTTAACTTGCCATACAAACCATATAAAGAATTTTCATATAAGTTTACAGGCCACTGCTATGCTAAATAGCCCACCTTAATCCATACCATGGTATTTTCAGTTAAAACCTATTTCCCAAAAGAGTACATTACACGACATTCGGTACGATATATTGCAAAATAATACTGAGTTCCCCTAAAAGTAATTGAGACTCTGCTAGGAAATAATCGAACTGGACATGATGTTTAATACATGATGAAATCATCTTTATTTATACAACACAAAGTAACAGCTTATGTGTAAACTGATGGACAGTCAACTGTACTAAAGTTGTGAATTGATCAAGCCAGCTATACTCTGTTACATACTACAATTTCAAATAGCCTAAAACTGTGTTAAATGATAATTTAAATTTAGAAATTAAATAAACGTCCACATATATCCAATTTATGATACTTGCCAACAAGATTGATACACACAGTTTCTTTTTTTAAAATAAATATATCTTAATATACAATCAATAATACAATTTACAATAACAGTTATTACAAATAATGATCTACAAACTTACAAACAATATTGAGTCTCCTTTCTGGTCTGAAACTTCCTTGATGTCTTATCAAGGGTTCACAATGAGCGAGTTAACTTTGGAGTTTATGTAGGTACAGCTAGCTCTGTGTCCTTCGTTGGTTTGTATGCCGTGTTATCCATCGCTGAAGTTATATAATGTTTTCGTAAAAATACTAATGTCTGATGTGAATCTGATGAAGTTAAAGGGTTTGTAATATTCAAAACCTATAAACGTTCTTGGTCAAATGTCTGAAGTCCCCAATTAATAAGCATTATAAAAATCACAGTTATAGCTTCCTAGGTTTATAGCAAACCAATAATATATACTGTTTCTTGGTGTGGCGTGTTGGTTACATTTATAGGCATGAGGAGAGTTTCTAGAAATTTCAGCCTGCACAACAATACTGACGATACACTAGTGTTTACGTACACACATATATTGTTGACTCTTACACTCGAGAATCTTCTACAACATTAGTGAATAGGCAGAAATTTTGCAATACAGACTTAACAGTACAAGTTATGTACATTTCTAAATATAAGTTTAACTTAAACAAACATCAATATTAAAACAGATATATGATAGTAAATTCATCAAAACTCCCTTGAGATATATTTCCAAGCTGACTAATTCACTCAAGGTGATGTTCTAAACTGACTATTACTTAGCAATTAGCATTACCCACATGACTGGTCATTCTCACTCAACTATAAGAGGGGTTGTAGTCTTAAGACATCACCTGAACTCCCATTGGAGGACACTGATGTTAACATTCAGGCACAAGGTGCAGCTCTACAGCCATAACCCCCCTTAGCAGAACAGGTGTTATCTCCATGAGATAAACAAAAAAGTTTGAAACATTTTATAAGGAGAATCCACATGATATAATTAAATACTATACTTTTCTTTCTTCCTCTCTTTCATGCTTTTCTTCAAGCTGAAATTAATCTTAAACTTTAAAGCCAATCATATTTACACATAACAGACAATACAATCACTTAGCAAAGATACATTAGCTACATTACTACAACGTTTCTTAATAAAATAAACACAATCATACATGTATAGTACAAATCATAAAACACAATGCTCTCTAAGGGCTAGGTAGTGCTTGTATGTTCATATAAAAGTACAGCAGAAACAGTTAGTTTATGGTTGATATGGAAGTTGCCAGGACACTGGTTGATCTCACCATTGTATCAGTAACTTCAGTTACAGTCACCACTATTGCCTTCTCTCTGGTGAATAGTGACAGACTAGGTGTCAATGGAGAGTCAGTACATCTCTCACTATGTTTAGGTAGCCATCTCTGACCTTGCTACTGGCTTTGTTTAGCATATTTAAAAGGTGAACTGAATTTCTGTGTAAAAGTCCCCTGATGCTGCCTGACTAGGCTAAGGAATAGTGGATTGCACAAGTGTATGTTGTGGAGGGAGTTAGTATCTCCGTGTACACAAGTGGTGTTCATTGAATTACTACAGATGAGGTCTAGTATACTGAAGCCCATAATAGAATGATAGAGCCAATGCATGATAATATGCAGTTTCCTGTCCAGTAAAAGAGTCAGGATGAGCTCAAATAATAATCTGTCTTATAAGGTGTGATATCTCAGTGCTCTATAATTACAGGCAGTCAATTATCCAGTTTTCTATTGGATCATTGACACAGTAAGCATTGTGAAGGTGACTGAGGCTAGTCGGATCACTAGTGTCACTTTCATCATTCTAAGTCTGAGAATGAATACATAGTTGTCAACACATCTGTGGTCAATGGTTGAGGATAATACAAGCAATATGGATTCAACATTGAAACTGATGAGTTGGAGAATGTTGAGTGTGCTATTTGGTATTATCTCAACTTGGCTGATAAGGAGGAAGATGGTTGAAAATAGTATTTGGTTGTTTAAGAAGAGTAAGATGAGGAAGCATCTGCAGATTAGGTGTAAAATAGCTTTGGTAGTAGTTGGCGAAGATGCCAACCATAAGACTTATAAGGCTGGGATTAACTCCATCAGTAAGAAGTCATTCAATAATACCAACCTTGGAACAAAGAAACTATACACACATTATAACTGTTCATGTTCTTAGTGTATCTTCATGAAATCACAAAAGCATTTAGTAAGTATTACAAGTTTGTTCTGCACAAAAATCAGATTTTTTATAAAGTATTTTCACTTAACATCTGCCTATGAATTTCCAAAGTCTTTACTGAGTTAGTCCGAGTGAAAGGTGATTTTCATGGTAAGAATATAAACAGTTATTTTCCACTTACAATTTTCATATTTCTTTAAACATAACCTCTAGAACATCTTAAATGAATATCAAGTGTTTGATAAAACTTTTTCTCTTATTTTCTCTACCCTGACACTAATTGCAGCAAAATAATCAATGAACAGTCCAATGAAAAGTTGAAAAATAAGGAATGAAATGAATAATAGCAATTTTCTTCTTTGAAAGCATAATGTGTTTCAAGATTTTCAAATGACTGATCTTCACAATTTCTACTGTTAATCCTTCCACATCTGTTTTCTTTTAATTTTCTGGTTTTATTGCTGTACTTTGTGCACAATGGAGCAATACCATAGTTGCTGGTGATTCCATATATAAGACAATTCTGGATTTTTTGAGCAAATTAAGTGCATTTCTTTGAGGTTCAGTGTATAGGAAGACCTGTATTGTCAAGCAAGTCTAGGATTTTCATTATTTATTTTCTGTTGTGCATGTTGGTGTATAGAAGACATAATATTACTAAAAATAACTGATCTTATAACACCAAAATGTTGTTTTTATTCAACTATACACTCAACATCTTGCTTTACAGCTTCTTCAGGAACATTCACTAAACACCAACCAAAATTGACAGAAGCTTTGTACTGTCCATTAGGAAAAAGGAGGGATAGAACTTGCATTGGAGAGTCCCAACAAAGGATGCTCTGGGGACACTGCAATAGCTGAACCACGTTCCTTATTTTGAAAAGTAAACTGGCCCCAATTTATTCAATCCAGGAGTCAGCAGGGATGGGCAAAAATCTCCTAAAGCTTTATCCATGATAGTCCATGAGTGGCAGTCCAGTTGTATATATTATTTTTTCCCACCCAGAAGGTAACAAAGTGGTCTTATGGAACACCCCATCTCAACAGAGCTTGTTGCCACCAGGAAAGTTTTATCAGTTGACTGGTAGCTAGTTCAGATCTGGAAAGAAGCATACCTGACCAGACAACACCCGTCACTGATTGGGAACCAAATGAAATGAATATGTGTGTGTGCATAAGCACATCTTGCTACATCTGTCCACTTCTTCAACACAACAACTATAACTCAACCTTATGAGTGAATACAATTAAACAAAATTACCACATAATACTGCAGGCTTAGTGACATTTTCAATATTCACACATACTTCAAGCAGAATTGTTACACAAAAATCCATGGTCACACACAACTAAGCTGTGAATGCTAATGAATACATTAGTGTCCATAACTGAAAGTTATGATACTATTTAATCACATGTGTGTTTTAAACCAAACCACCATGATTTAACCCTTTACCTGCCGTGGCCATTTTGATCTTATCGTGAGGGCAAAATCACATTTGTAAATTAAAAAAATTATAGAGAACTTACCTTTTATTGGATTTCAGATTTTATTTTTGTAAGTAGTAGCATAACATTCAATTATTTGTACAAAATTGTATTATTTAATGAAGTTTAAAGAGGAATTTAATGAAAAAAATCCTAAAATACGTTTTAGACTGTAAATAAGTGCCTTCTAAGAAGAAAATATTTTTTCAAAAATTTTAAAAAATATTTCCTTCCACTTCAACACTAGTCCTGCTATCTATGATTGGTATCTAAACCTTTTTCTAGTCTGTTTTCTTTATAAAACAGCATCTGGGTGTGTTAAACCTCAGTTGTAAAACTTTTAGCCAATCCTAGTCGAAGGTGTCAATTTCAGGACCATGTTATTCCAATCGCTGTATCTCACATTTGACAATTCATAGAATGATAAGGAAAGCACGTGACGAAACGTTGTTCTCTGAATT